GATACCGCTCCAGCGGGAAGGTAAACGGCGTTTCCGTGCGCTGCTCTGGTTCGCCAGAAGCGGCTTAGTCATGCTGGCCACATGACCTGGAAGCTGTACGCCGGCTCCCTCAGCCAATAAAGCAAGATGAGCGCCGCAACCCCAGAGTCTGCTATGAGTGGACCTAATGGTCAGGGGTCCCTTTACCTTTACCCTTAAAGCAGCACAGACGTAGCAACAGATCCCACTCCTCTCAAACAGGCACAGTAACTCCTTAACACCCAAATGAAATAAAAGTGGGGGCCAGAGATCTACAGAAAATGTCCCGTTTTCTGGTCTGAGAAGAAGCCAAGTGCCTCGAGTCATGCCCACTCACTTTGTGGCCATTTAAGATTGGGAGTCTCCAGGTGCTTCCACGCTGAATGCATCTGCCAGTCATCAAAAGCAGCAGCTCCTCTAGGCATGGGGGAATTCGCAGCAGAGTGAGGTTACAATGCTATGTTTGTATTGCTAGATGTTACTGGGATGGAGAGGAGGAGGGATATAGAAAGCTGCCTGTTGCCAAGTCGCACTATTAGCCATCTAGCCCAGTGTTGTCTACACTGACTTGCAGAAACTCTCCAGTACGCCAGGCAGGGAAAAGTCTCAAATCACATCTGTCATGGACACTTCAGCTAAGTTTCCTGCCTTGCCTGGGGTTGGACTAGATCATGCTCCCTTCCAATTCTACAATTCTGTGGTTCTACACCCCCTTCTAACTGACCATGTTAACTTATAATGTATGGGGCCAGGAGAATCTATGCATACCATGTGCTTTATTGCTAAGCAATGGGTCATCTCCCCCCCAAAAAGGAAGAGTGGGGAAGGCTCCATTAATCATTCCTGTTCGTTCATGCTAAGTGAGTGGTCTACCACTGGAGCTAATTCCCCTCCACGGAGAGTCAGAAGGCTTTGTGTTCAGCAGCTAGCACCCATCTTCCCCCCAAATCTGCAAACGCACCATTGGGAACAGTATTTGTGTGTGTGTGTAATGCAGGGGTCAGCAACCTTTTTCAGCAGGGGGCTGGTCCACTGTCCCTCAGACCTTGGGGGGGGGCGCGACTATAGTTTTTTTGGGGGGGAATGAATGAATTCCTATGCCCCACAAATAACTCAGAGACACATTTTAAATAAAAGCACACATTCTACTCATGTAAAAACACGTTGATTCCCGGACCGTCCGTGGGCTAGATTTAGAAGGCGATTGGGCTGGATCCAGCCCCCGGGCCTTAGTTTGCCTACCCATGGTGTAATGTATTGGATTATCTGTGGAAGGGTAACTCTGGATTAGAAGGGGCAGTGAGAAATAGAATTGGCATTCTGATGCCAGCGATGCCGTGTAGATGCTGCAAAGAACTTGGATGCGCGAGGAGACCCATCGCAGAGTAAACATCCACTCTTAGCTTTCAGTTCAAGCCCGCTATAGGCTCAGTTTAGGCTTTTAAGTCCACTTTAAGGGGGAAAGCTCTTTGTATGTTCTTATCAGACAAACAGCTGTTTCCTTTGCCCTGGGCACTCTGAGAATTGTAGCTCTGAGAGGGCGAGTAGCAGTTTCTAACAGAGAATCCTCACAAAATAAAATTCCCAGGATTTTTTTGGGTAGAAACTATAACAGTTGATCTGGAATGATATTGTTGTATTGTAGTAAGGGACGCGGGTGGCGCTGTGGATAAAAGCCTCAGCGCCTAGGGCTTGCCAATCGAAAGGTCAGCGGTTCGAATCCCCGCGGCGGGGTGCGCTCCCGTTGCTCGGTCCCAGCGCCTGCCAACCTAGCAGTTCGAAAGCACCCCCAGGTGCAAGTAGATAAATAGGGATCGCTTACTAGCGGGAAGGTAAACAGCGTTTCCGTGTGCGGCTCTGGCTCGCCAGAGCAGCGATGTCATGCTGGCCACGTGACCCGGAAGTGTCTCCGGACAGCGCTGGCCCCCGGCCTCTTAAGTGAGATGGGCGCACAACCCTAGAGTCTGGCAAGACTGGCCCGTACGGGCAGGGGTACCTTTACCTTTACCTTTTTAGTAATATACACTTTTAGCTGGGATAGATTGGAGGGAAATGCTTTTGTCTATAAAGCTATTCAAGCAAGGGAAATCCCGGTGCTTTTGATATTCCTTAATTGCCCTGGTCTGCTTGCCATCCTAGTTCCTTCACCATGTCAGAGTTGCCTGTTTTGCTTGTATGTATAAATTGTAGCAAACTTGTCTTAATTCAACACCCCCTTCCCAATCTTTCATTATCTGTGTTATGCTATTACTGCATGGTATATTTGGACACTGGGTGAATTTCATAAAATCCCAATCGATGCATATTGAGTCAACATTTCTTGGTGTGTGTGTATGTGCATGTGTACAAGCTTTTGACTTTCACAGATCTCTTCTTCAGAGCAGCCTTTTCACCACCAACTGGTATTGTCTGCTTTAAGTGGGAATGGAAGGCAACAAGTAACAGCGGATAGAAAGATAGGGAGCTAACCCTGTTAGCATTTTTAAGCTGTTGGCAAAATGTCTTAAGAGAACACATCACAGCAACTAACAGAGGCAGGACTTGATGAAGTCGGACGTATCGGGAGTGGTGAATTAATCTGTGAATTACTAGCATAAAGATTTTAGCTGAAGCCTTCTGAGTGGATAGGGTCACTCCGGGACAATGTGGAGGAGGAGGAAAAGGGGTGAGATAAAGTTAGATACTATTTGGACCCAGGTAGGTGATGGAAGAGGACCCAGAGGAGAAAAAGCCAAATTCAGGGAGAGAAAATAAAGTGAGTGCATTCTTTGGAAAGTACAAAACACTCGACAGCTGGAGATTATTCAATAAAGCCTAGCATCTTCTGTTAACAAGACTTACCTGCATGTTGACAGCAGTTTCTCAGCTCTGCAGTTGTTGCTTTATCCTTTAGTACCAGATTGGCTTTATACTGTCAGCTTACAAATATAACAACAGTAACAGCAACAACAATAATATTCTTTGGGATGGAATCGAGCACATAGTAGAAATTTAGGTTTGTGTAATTAAAGTGGATTGCAAGCAATGACTATTTTAGGCATCTCCCAATAGGTGTGGGATTTTAGGGACCCTGTAAACATCTGGGTAGGGATGTGGGTGGTGCTGCGGGTTAAACCACAGAGCCTAGGACTTGCCGATCAGAAGGTCGGCGGTTCGAATCCCCGCGATGGGGTGAGCTCCCATTGCTCGGTCCCTGCTCCTGCCAACCTAGCAGTTCGAAAGCACATCAAAGTGCAAGTAGATAAATAGATACCGCTCCGGCGGGAAGGTAAACAGCGTTTCCGTGTGCTGCTCTGGTTCGCCAGAAGCAGCTTAGTCATGCTGGCCACATGACCCGGAAGCTGTACACCGACTCCCTCGGCCAATAAAACGAGATGAGTGCCGCAACCCCAGAGTCGGTCACGACTGGACCTAATGGGCAGGGGTCCCTTGACCTTTTAAACATCTGGGTATGTGGACCACAAGATTGCATAATTGGACACAGTGTTTTTGTGCTGCCAGGTAGTCTGTGAAATCCTCCTGGGGGGAGACTTGGTACGAGTGGTAAGAGATGGAAGCATCGCAATATATCCAGTATGTGCTCAGTTTGCGTGGGCTTTCCGAAGCAAATGTGGTTTTGTGATTTATCCTCAAGGGATCTGCAGAATGTCACACGTGTTGTGTCGGCTAGAACACTAAGGACAAGATGAATAATTGCAGCTGGAATATCCTTCCAGCTGCACTTTTCAAGGAAGAAAGAGTAAGAAGTGGAAACTTCTTCGCCCTTCACTGGAGCATCTAGGATCAATTCGTCACCTTAAGCTACTCTGAAATTTAGACCTTTTTCTCATGCAGTTTCCACCAGCAATCTATCAAGGGAGGGTAGGGACGTATTTCATTCCACAAACATTTTTGCCTCCTTCCCCAGTTCTGCTTTTACCTCCAAACAGAAATGCAGCTCAGGCACTTCTGCGTAATATTGCAGACGTAAATGGGACGCTCTTCTTGTTGATGTGGCCGTTATGGTGTGCTGCCATTATTAAATTGCAGTGACATATGGGTAAAAGGAAATTTGTAAATTAATAATAAACAGTATATCTGAACTGTCCAGTGGATACAATTGCATATATTACAAACTTACGTTGCTGTTGGTGTTAACTGGAGGAATTGAGTGTGGAATGATCCCCTCGTTTGGCACCTTCATGATACATCTTTAGACGCCAGGTGAAAACGTTCCTCTTCAGCCAGGCCTTTGGCTGATTAATATTCTACAGCCTTTTACATCTGTCTATGGGAAAGGGAGGGACCCGGGTGGCGCTGTGGGTTAAACCACAGAGCCTAGGACTTGGCGATCAGAAGGTCGGTGGTTCGAATCCCACGATGGGGTGAGCAAGATGAGTGCCGCAACCCCAGAGTCGTCCGCGACTGGACCTAATGGTCAGGGGTCCCTTTACCTTTACCTATGGGAAAGGGAGAAGGATTATTGTTTTGTTGGTTTGTTTTAACTATTTCCTTGTTTCTGTCCTGCATTTTCTTCTGTGAACCGCCCTGAGATCCTATGATGAAGGGTGATATAGAAATCCACTAAATAAAAATAAATAATTAAAAATCTTGTTTTGTGAGTTGTACCTGGGAATTATTAATTATCACTGTTTGTACTTTTCTGCATTTCATTTCCATCATACCTCACTGTTTACCGTCCACCTCCTCCCCTCCTAGCCATGCACGTATATGTCCATAGGTGTGCATATACCGTGTTTTTTCCATGTATAAGACAACCCCCAATTTTTGGCTAAAAATATTTTGGGACAAAAACATTATCTCATACACGGGAAAATGTGGTAAATCTATATACCTTGGCTACTGAAGATAGCATTCCATGCATCTGATGAAGTGGCCTGTAGCCCACAGAAGTTTCTGCCACAATTAAACTTGTTTGCCTTAAACCACAAGAGCCTTTTCGTTCTGACGAGACGCCTGTGTCTCTTCTCTTTCCCTCACAGCTGAAGAACAAGTTCATGAAGAAGTTACCTCGAGACGCCGAGGCCTCCAATGTCCTGGTGGGAGAAGTCGACTTCCTGGAAGCCCCTTTCATTGCCTTCGTTCGGCTGCAGCAAGCAGTTATGCTCGGTGCTCTTACAGAAGTCCCTGTACCTACCCGGTAAAGGAGCATTTTCTTTTTATCTTTAATATACAGTCATACCTCATGTTACGATTGCTTCAGGTTGCGTCCCGTGGCGACCTGGAAGTACCAGAAAGAGTTACTTCCGGGTTTCGCCGCTTGCGCATGTGTAGATGCGCAAAATGACATAACGCGCATGTGCAGAAGCAGAGAATCACGACCCGCGCATGCGCAGACGCGGGTTGTGTTCTTTTCAGGTTGAGAACGGGCCTCTGGAATGGATCCCGTTCGCAACCAGAGGTACCACTGTATTTTCTTTTAATTTTACATAACACATTTCAATTTAAATATATCATTCACCTTCACATTTTGGATTCTCGGAATCCCTTGACCTCCCCACGCCCTTCTCTGGTTTTCATTGTCAATCCCTTTTTCTTCCAGCTCCCCCCCCCCAATTCATTATAAATATTATTAACTTTTCCATTGTGTTTTGTACTTTACAAGTATTACTCTAATCCTGCCAAAGTTTTTAGTTGTTTACATGGTTCTCTTAAATACATTATAATTTTCTCCCATTCTTTTTTAAACTTCTTCTCATCCTAGTCTCGGATTCCCATCCGGTCAATTTTGCCATTTTGGCGTAGTCCATCTTCTTCACCAGCCACTCCTCTTTGGCTGGAACTTTATCCTCTTTCGATCTCTGGGCCAGTAATATTCTCGCTGCTGTCATCCCATACATAAAAAGTCTTTTCTGCTCACTCGGAATCTCTGTTCCTAAAATACCTAATAAAAAAGCCTCTGGTTTTTCCACAAATGTTATTTTAAACACTAGGAGCCTTTTCAAGCCCATGGTTGTATTAGCATTACTTAAGTCAGAAGAAGGGGGGGAAGGGAAGAGAGAGCATGCATTCATAATTAAGAAAATTGCAGTTTTAAACTAAGGGATAACAACAGCAACAAAAAGTGTTCTCTATAGACAGGAGAGAGCCAGCAGTAAATCACACTGTGCAAGTTGGAGTTAATTCCTTCTTAGCAAAAACAGGATCTGCACAGGAATGCCAGGCCTAATGAGCACAGCAGCTCATCTCTGCCTGGTCTTGCCCCCATGAAGCAGTTGCTGAGACTGAAGGTCCCCATGTCCCCACAGCTCCCAGTTAAGGAGCCTTTTCTCCCTCCCTATTCTTGATCCTGTTTTCTATTATTAAAAGGCAACTACGCGGCATGCCAAAATAAAACAGGGTCATGCCGGAATGTCTGATAGACATGACATGATAGACATGACACAATAGACATGATAAACATGACACAATAGACATGATAGACACGACACAAAAATGGAAGAATGAAAAGGAAGAGGAAATAAGCAAAATTCAGTTACATGAAAGTTCTGTAATTACCCGATGGGATGACCAACTATTGGAATCGGCCACTTCATCTTAAGCAGGGATTTGGTCCCAACCAAATTAAGCAGGTTGATGGAGAAGCACTTTTCCTGCATTGCAGGGGGTTTGAACCCATGGCCCTGTGGGTTCCTTCCATTCCAGTCCTACAATTCCATGATTCATAGCCTTCCAGTTTCCTTGGATCGCTGTCAAATGTTAATATTTTTTTATTAAAGTTTTTCTGACGTTAATGATATAACAAGTTCTGCTATATCTTCTTGTTGTTTATTAATGTCCAACTGATACAAATTCTATGAATCTCCATGCTCCACTGCTTTTATCTAATCTGGTGGTACATATTTTACTGAAGCTATACTGTGTTGGTTTTCCCCAAAGTGAATCATGACAATATTTGTTTGTTCTTTCTTTTTCCTCCTTGGGGTTCAGGTTCCTCTTCATTTTGCTGGGTCCCAAAGGCAAAGCTAAATCGTACCATGAGATTGGCCGAGCCATTGCTACCTTGATGTCTGATGAGGTAATCTCCCTTCTGTGTTGCTGAGTGCAGTTCACTTAGCAGTAACCGATATCTGCATTATTGTTGTTATTATTATTATATATTTACCACCCTTCATCACAATCTCTCAGGGTGGTTCACAAGATAAAAGCTTTTGCTTTTCTAGCCACAGCCTCAAAAGAGCCAATCTTGCAATACTTCCAGGAAATGTTCAGGGTAGTCTTCTGCGAATTTCCAGGAATGGGAGATTTTGAAGGCTGTTCCATGTATTACATTGGATAAAGTATTCAGTTTGCCACCAAGTGATAGGAAACAGCAACTGATCCTGACTGTCTAGAAGCAGAACTTCCTGGGATGGTGGCAGTCCTGTGTCTTTGAACACAGGTTTCCACCAAACATCAGTAAAATGGCAGGATGGAGGTAACTTCTAGGCAACAGGTGGCCGAGGAGTGATTTCATCAATGGTTCCTCTTCATCCTGGAGAAGAGTGACTAGTGGGGTGCCACAGGGTTCTGTCTTGGGCCCGGTCTTATTCAACATCTTTATCAACGACTTGGATGATGGACTCAAGGGCATCCTGACCAAATTTGCAGATGACACCAAACTGAGAGGGGTGGCTAACACCCCAGAGGACAGGATAACACTTCAAAACGACCTTGACAGATTAGAGAACTGGGCCAAAACAAACAAGATGAACTTTAACAGGGAGAAATGTAAAGTATTGCACTTGGGCAAAAAAAAAAAAAATGAGAGGCACAAATACAAGATGGGGGACACCTGGCTTGAGAGCAGTACATGTGAAAAGGATCTAGGAGTCTTGGTTGACCACAAACTTGACCTGAGCCAACAGTGTGATGCGGCAGCTAAAAAAGCCAATGCAATTCTGGGCTGCATCAATAGGAGTATAGCATCTAGATCAAGGGAAGTAATAGTGCCACTGTATTCTGCTCTGGTCAGACCTCACCTGGAGTACTGTGTCCAGTTCTGGGCACCACAGTTCAAGAAGGACACTGACAAACTGGAACGTGTCCAGAGGAGGGCAACCAAAATGGTCAAAGGCCTGGAAACGATGCCTTATGAGGAACGGCTAAGGGAGCTGGGCATGTTTAGCCTGGAGAAGAGGAGGTTAAGGGGTGATATGATAGCCATGTTCAAATATATAAAAGGATGTCATATAGAGGAGGGAGAAAGGTTGTTTTCTGCTGCTCCAGAGACGCGGACACGGAGCAATGGATCCAAACTACAAGAAAGAAGATTCCACCTAAACATTAGGAAGAATTTCCTGACAGTAAGAGCTGTTCGACAGTGGAATTTGCTGCCAAGGAGTGTGGTGGAGTCTCCTTCTTTGGAGGTCTTTAAGCAGAGGCTTGACAACCATATGTCAGGAGTGCTCTGATGGTGTTTCCTGCTTGGCAGGGGGTTGGACTCGACGGCCCTTGTGGTCTATTCCAACTCTATGATTCTATGATTCCTTGCCTATCACTCCCCCTTCAGCTCCTCACACCCACTTTATTTCCAGCTAGGTTCAGAGCAGTGATGTGGGGAGCAAACTTTTCCAGTGCTTTATTTTCCATGGAAAATTCTCTGCCTCCTAATTTCATTAGTAGCAATGAACAGGTGAAAAGGACCAGCTTCAAATGCAGTATTAGCTGAGCTTGGTTGTTCAAGTGTTTGCTAAATACAGGTAAATTAAACGTCCTAAATTAGATCACTCTCCAGGGCATCAGGTACTGAACTGAAATTTTTGAAATCCCAATTAAACTAATTTGCACAGGAACATTTTCCAATCGCTGGTTCAAAGACCAGAAATAAACCCAGCTGCAGGGGCAGCAGGAGTGGCCTGGGAAACTGTTGCACTGAAAAGTAGTGGGTGCAGGAAAAGTTAAGCATCCCTCTGCTGCTTCCTCCTTTGCTGAAAAGATATTGCCAGCTTTTCCCCCATTAAGCAAAACCTCTGCAGAATAAAATGTGGCGTTTGCTCTCCTAGGTGTGTGACATCATACTGGGTTCATAAGGAAAGGGTTAACTAATTATAAAAATGACTAACCAATGGGAACCCAAGGGAAGGAGTTAGAGTTAGAGTTAGGGTGGTTGAGAAGTCAGTCTGGAGTTAGAAGAGACAGAGAGGATAAGTCTGTGGGTTGGGCTAGTCTGATGTGAGAGAGTGAGAGCCTCTGTTAAGAGGAGTCAGTCAAACAGTTGATATAATCAGTCAAAAGGTATTAGGAAGGTATAGGCCGGTAAAGAAACTAAAGTTAAGAAACTGACAGGAATATTATCTGAGAAACCACAAACTTGTTAATGCTTATAAAATAAACTTGTTTATTTGGTTCAATTTTAACAACTGTCTGGACTCAGTGTTTTACCCGAGAGCAACGGGTTGGTGGCAGCGGGGAAGCGAGCACAGCGGTGGCACGGGGATCAATAGACTGTTAAACGTCCGGGGGACCCTGTGTGATCGCCACAGGTAATCTGTCAGTTTGGCTAGTGGCAATTTGACTAGTGCTCCATAACAGGGAGGAACCATAGATCAGTGGGTAGTGGATGTGCTTTGGACTTTGAGGACTGCAGATTTAATCCCCGACATCTAAAACAATCAGGTAACAGCTTATTGGAAAGACCACAGCCTGAAGCCCTGGAGAGTTGCTGCCAGGCAGAAGAGAAGAGTGTCAGGCTAGATGGACAAAGAGGATGACCTCATAAATGAGGCGTCTTTCTGTGCACCTGTAGAAGGATTTGCTAGATGGCAACCTTCCCTTTCCTTCCTATGTGCAGGTGTTCCACGACATTGCCTACAAAGCCAAAGACAGACAGGACCTGATCGCTGGGATCGATGAGTTCCTGGATGAAGTCATTGTGCTCCCCCCGGGGGAGTGGGACCCTGCCATCAGGATAGAGCCCCCCAAGTCCCTCCCGTCTTCAGACAAAAGGTAAGAGAGGTGCATATGTCGCATTAAGGCATGCCAACTTTTTCAACTTTCCCATTCCAAAATCGAGGCATGCCAAAAAAGATTGTATCAGGACTTGGGATATTTTGGTTAAATTAATAGAATTTGGTTTTCCTTGGTAAGTAAAATGTGTGTAAAATTGCATAGGAATCATTAAAAATGATTACCAAATACTTGCAGTTATACGTACTTATTTGTTTAGTATGACCCGACATTTTCATAAGGTAAAATTAAAATTCTTTGGTTTTCTGAAAGCAATTTATGCGCTTCTTCGTCAAGCATATCTGAATTCCTCACCCCCTCAAAAAACTAAAAAACCCTACAAAAATTTAAGACCCCGTCACTGGCTAAGGTTGCAATAACTAAGTTTCACCGCCTAAAATGGCACGCCTTAATGCCATGTGCCTTGTCGCAGTTGCGGCACCCAAAGTCACAGGCCAAAGATCCTGGATATATGGAAGCCCAGCTGAATTATCATTTCTTTCTTTCTGCTCAGGAAAAACATGTATTCGGGTGGT